CGAGAATTGAACCTGTGACCTGTGTATTCGTAGGCAGTTGGTAGGCCTGTCGTAGGTCCATAGGCAGCAGGGGTTCGATCTGTAGGTCTATAGCGTAGGAGTCTTAGTGAGTTCTGGAAGCTTAGCTGTAGACCTTCTAGAAGATAGGCAAGTGGGCAAGTGGTCAAGTGGCGAGGCAAGTGGTGGACTAAACCGCAGTGCAACAGCAGTACAACGTCGGTAGGATGGTGGTGAGTCCACAGTCAGTCCCAGTCCGGTCCAGCAAGTGCCACAGGGGGACTGTAAGCACCATGGGCCGATGGCAAAGGGCAGACCAACGAGTTTCTGAAGTATAAATCAAGAGGCAGCGCCCAGCCATTCATTTTCATTCCTGCGTGAGCCATGCGGAAGCGCTGCCGCAGCGACTTGTGCAACGAGGTCTGCAGATGAGCCCGGAGGACGCAGTGGGCAAGAGAGAGGGAATTAGTCTAGCGATAGGTTAGATGCAGCGATAGCTGCCATAGCTGTAGTTAGTAGTGAGTGTGTGTGTGTGTTCGAGTGTTAGAGTGATGCGTGTGGGATATCCAGGGTGATSCAGTGTATGTGAACAGTGAGATGTTTGGGCGCTGAAGTTGCCATATCCAATTGAGAGTGAACTCGTATCTGAAAGCCATATCTCTGAGTTTTGAGTGGGCGCATGTTGCCAGTATGCTGCGTTGCTGTTTACATGCATGAAAAGTGTGTTTGAGAACGAGTCTGATTGCACTGTCACCGCGCTGCTTGAGGTGCGGAGCAGCAAACCGGCAGGGTACAACTTCTCAACTGAATTGGTCGAAGTCAGGAACAGGAGAGGAAACCCAGGTCTACACACAGACGACAACCAATTTTGGCCGACCGTGCTCGTGGAGGACATTGGGACAGTCCTCCATATGGGCACGGACCATGGACAGCTGATTCGAACCCAACCACCTTTATTGCAAAGGATCCCGGTTAATGTCTTGGCCGGGCCCTCCAACGTCCGGGCAAAGCTGCTATCGGACAACTCACTCGAGTCTCAGGTAATGGACCTGTTGGTGAACGAAGAAGGGGACAAAGATCACGACAGTGAGGTGGAAGTAGATGGGGGGGACTTGAACTCGGATCAAGAAAATGAACCCCCTGCCGTGGACAGACAAAAAATTACACCCTCTCTCCTACTGGAAGGAAACCGGTCAGCGGGAACAGTCCCTGCACTCCCCCCAGTCATAAAACACCTACAATTGACATACAGCTGGGGAATGTCGGTATCCAGTCCAAGCCATAAATGAACTTAATGCATCAGCAAAGGAATTGCATACCATAACAACCACCTTCCCCTCCACCCTGCCAGTGCCTCCCCCCACTCCACAAGTCTCCTCCCTTTAAGGAGTCCCCCGGACTGGGAAAAAAACTCAGACAAGCCGATCTGGACATAAGAGCATTTAACTTGAACGGCTTAGCGCAGGCATCACCAGGAAAGCGCAACACTATTTGGCGAATATTAAAAGCGGTGGACTCGTGAAACTAGCCAGACGTGATATGCATTCAACAAATGCACCTCACACACTCCCCCCTTCATAAGGCAAAAGAAAAGTGGGTATGGCCGCATACATCCTTCTTAGCCCCGGAGAGGTCCGGCGCCTCAACAAGAGTGGGCATATGGATTCCCCCCCCTCGCTGATCACACCCACAACATGCGAATATGATAGGCAAGATGACCGATGAGTGTTTGCGAAAGCGACGGTAGGCGAAGAGGAGGTAGGAATTGTCGGCGTGTATGGCCCAAATGATCCATTAGACCGAGCGTTATTTCTACACCGGCTTTACCAGGAGGTACCCTCAAGGCCCCGATTGATCATTGCGGGGGATTTCAACATCACATCAGATCTGCTACTAGATATGAGGTCTTCGTCACAACTCGAGGAGAGGGATGTCACCGCTGCATAGCATGGCCTCGGATGTGGAGATGCTGGTGAGGTATATGGCTGCACTGCAGCTCAAGGACACCTACAGGACGCTCCACCCAACCAAAAGAGGCGACACATGTGTTCGATCAAGAAGGGCCGCAGGTAGATCAAACTCCCTAATCGACCTCACTCTCATCTCCGAGGAACTCGTTAGAGTGTTGACTGTGACTGATATCATGGCCTTCGACCCATGCCAGTCTTTTGATCAGAGGCTTCTTGATCCAAATTAAAAGGGACCCCAAATTTTATAAATTCAATGCCTCGCTCTTAAAACTGCAAGGATTGAAGGACTTGGTAAATGATTTTTGGGAATGTTGGATCTCTCAACGAGGAATGGCTTGTTCAGTGGTAGACTGGTCTAACGATGGCCTGACACAATATAGAGACCGTGTCAAAAAATTATCAATTAATCACGTCGGGGAACGAAAAGCTGCACTAGACAACCTGCTCGGGAATTTAGAAGAATGAGACAAAAAATTACAGACAGACCCCCTAGATGAGAAGACCTACAACAAACTGCAAATGGCAAGGAACTACCTTCAGCCCTACTTGGTACATCAGACTGAGGCGTAGAGAGTGCAAGCAAGAATACAGAGGCAAAACACTGAAAGAACAATGATCAAGGTGTTTTTCAAAAAACAAATGGAACCCCTAGATGAGGAGACCTACAACAAACTGCAAACGACAAGGAACCACCTTCAGTCCTACGTGGAACATCAGGCTGAGGAGTGGAGAGTGCAAGCAAGAATACGGAGGCAAGACACCGAAGGAACACCGACCAAGGTATTTTTCAGAAAAGCAAGGGCGAGGGCAAGGACGACAGTGATAGCCTCATTGAAACACCCCCTTAACCAGGCCCTCTCTGATGCAACTAACGCCTACACCATTGTTGACTATGCCTCCCAGTTCTATCAAAAGCTCTACGCATCAGAATCTTCACAATGGGGGAACAAACAACTCACAAACGCTCGCGACCTCATGCTCGAACAGCTTCTGACGATGCTTTCAACTCAACAAAGAATGCATATGGAGACACCTCTCTCTAGCGATGAACTACTGGAGGCACTACAAGGGATGAAGGACAAAAAACTCCTGGCCTGAACTCCTTTCCAAAGGAGTTCCGGCTCCAGCAATGGGAAGTCTTCAAGACTAGCCTGTCAAACTGTATTCAAGTCGTAAGGCAGGAAGGGACCTTTGGGGGACTGGTCAGCCAAAGGGTCACCACCCTGTTGTACAAGAAAGGAGACAAGGCAGACGTCTAAAACTACAGACCCATGACACTTCTACCCCTCCCCTACAAGACCGTCTCTAAAACCCTCGCTAATAGACTGCTTTCATACATGGAAGACCTCATCCACCTAGACCTATGTGGCGCCCTCGGCCGCGGTCGAGGAGGCCGGCCGCGGGCCTGCGGCCGAGTTTGCGTGCGGCCACGCCAAGGCCAGGCGGGGTCGCGCGCGGGAAAACGACATGCACGCGCGGCCTGCACACTTCGGCCGCAAGGACCCTGCTAAGAAAAAATA